AGTGCATTAGCCAAACTGGAAATGGAGAAGAGACAACTGCAGGAAAAGCTCACAGATTTAGAAAAGGTAACAGAACTTCAAAGTCTTACATTCTTACAAAACTTTTTAATTTGCAGTTTTACTACCAGACACATTGAGACAAGATCAGTTAAAAAATTAAGCCTTGTTTTCAGTGTTTTTCCTTTTTCTAATATTTTTTTGTTTATTGTTTTTGCAATTTGAGGGTTGTGGGAAAGAAAAGACATAATTTCCTATACAATCATGATGCATTATACTTGTAAAGTACATAATAATGTACTCTGGTGTGTAACTTAACAGTGCTGTAGCAACTCTTAATTTGTTGTTTTATTTTAAACTCTCAATATTGCCAAAAGTAAAAAAAAAAACCTTCTGCTAGTAGTTCAGAGGTTTCTTAACAAATTGGTCATTGAAACAAAAGTATTGAAAAACTTATTGAATAAACATAATAGTTGAGCTGCTCTTACTACAGAATGTTCGGTGTAAGGCAGTAATTCTGTAATTGTTTTCAACTGGGAATGTCATTGTACATTTTTGGAGCACATTGCCATCCACAGAAAAGCATTCGTAGAAATGAGTTCTCAGTTAGCTCCTGAGTGTGAGCTCTCTCTTGTATGCTTTGCATCCTTCCAAGTAGCATGTTACTGCGGTCTAAAATGTTGTCTTTAACCTGATGTATTTAAAGTTTTATTTCAATATTATTTTTTCTTTAACAGGAAAAGAGCAACATGGAAATAGATATGACATACAAATTCAAAGTTATGCAGCAGAATCTTGAACAAGAAGAAGCTGAACATAAAGCCACAAAAGCACGATTAGCAGACAAAAATAAGATCTATGAATCTATAGAGGAAGCAAAATCTGAAGCCATGAAAGGTATGCATTTGACATCACAGTTGGACTTAGGTGAAAATTATACAAAGTAGATAATATAATCTTTTGATGCTAGTGGAAGACTAAGTAGGCTTTTTTCCTTTATTTTCCTGTTGTTTTTAAATATAATTAATGTCCTAAAAGTGGGTTGTAGTCCCTTTGTCTTTGCTGTGCTAGGTTAAAGACACACTGGTTTAGTCTGAATAAAACAGGTTCTCCATTGCACATACTAATTCATTTTCTGTGCCAGCATATTCTGAATCAATTATTTTAAAATTCATATTCACTAAAACTGCTTGAAACATTTTTCTTAAGAGTTACCTGTGTTCTTACTCAGTGTACTCATACCTTTTTGGTCCCTAAATAAAATACATGTCAGCAACTTAGCTATTTAAATACATAGACCAGATAGAGTTAAAAATGGCAAAGACGTTGCTATGCTTCCATAGTCACTGTCCATATTCTGGTGCATCTTAGGACAACTGAAATCTCTGGGAGAGAGAGATAATTACAAAAAAATTCCAGAAGATGGCTCTTCCATTTGAATTAAATGTCTTATGTTTATTGCATAATTAAAAAGCTACCTACAGATCCTGTCCTTCCAATTGCAGAGCATTCCCCAAAAGTTTGAGCATGCAGATCTTCAAAAGAAGCAAAAATGATTCAGTAATATGGCTGAGTCATTTGGCATATTGAGTTCCTGAACAACTTCAGCTCTTTAATTGATTTCGTATTATTGTATTCAGAGCAACAGTTGAGTAGATGTGGATGGCTTATTTTTAAAAATGCACCCTTTTTATTCATCTCAGAGATACAGCAGATAAACTGGAAAGCAGTAGGATAGAGCTATCCATCAGGAATGCTTGCAAAAACATCCCGTGAGTGTGAGTTCACTATGAAAATTTTAGTCCATCACTTTTTAGCAGTCTTTGTCTTCAGTTTTAAAAGGAATCTTCCTTCTGCCTCTAAAATATGCTAGTTTACACTGACTGGTGTCTTAAATCTCTTCACAGAAATGGAGAAGAAACTTTTGGAAGAGAGAGCTTTAAAGCAAAAAGTAGAAAATCGGTTGTTGGAAGCTGAAAAGCAACGCTCCATGTTGGACTGTGATCTCAAACAATCACAACAGAAAATCAACGAGCTCCTTAGGCAAAAGGATTTGCTAAATGAAGATGTAAGGAACACTGAAAAAGGAGTATTGAGTCAAACCTCGTTTTCCATGTCCTAGTATTTTTCCTGTTATAGCTATATTTAGGAATGTTTTCCTTCTCTGTCTTAGGAGCTTTAAAAGGTCTATTTCACAGTGTGGTTTCATTTTTCTGAAATATTTCGTTATTCATCTTAAAAAGTTTTTCTTCTGGAATGTAAAACACTCTGAGATAGACATGGTAAAACTAGCTTCTTTATTGTGTGCTCTAATGCCTTTATTCAGGAAACACCAAAAGATGTGAGCATGTTGTTCAGAAATGAAGAGGAAGTCAGTAAGGGGCTGTTTAAACGTTGCTTTTCCTGTGTAAGCCTGTAAAATTCACAGCTTTCTATTCCTTTCCCAGGTAAAAAACTTGACATTAAAAATCGAGCAAGAAACACAAAAGCGCTGTCTCACTCAAAATGACCTCAAGATGCAAACACAGCAGGTCAATACCTTGAAAATGTCAGAGAAGCAGTTAAAACAGGAGAATAACCATCTTCAGGAAATCAAATTGAGTCTGGAAAAGCAAAACAATGAACTCCGCAAGTACGCAAGTTGCTTCATAATTTTTTGTCTTGTTACTGATTTGTAATATTTTGGGGGCAAAATTTGAGAGCAACATTAATTTCAAAAACTTTGCTGTACAGAATACACTGTTCTACAGTGCAAAACTTAACTGTCCTTTAAAATAATTTGCGGTGACTCTAGTTGAAATTTGCCCTAGTGGTTCAGCAATGTATAGGTTTGTATTAAAAGATGTTTCTTATCCTGAAAAATCTTTTAAAAATCCCAACTTATACATGAGCAGAGAAACACTTATTCAGCTGAATGTCTACATACTTTATTTTTAATGATGTAGGACTTCAGTGAAAGGGAAAGTTACTGGAATGATTAGTTGAGGAGAGTTTATTAGAGTTGGAAATGAATACAACTACGGAGCAGTGAAGCATAACCATTGGAAATACCTAGTACTGCAGATGTTTAAACACATCTGTTGGACCTTCGAACAGGAGTTCTGTTGCATCCCAGCGGTTCTTCAAGGCCTTACAAGTAGTATTTGCACCTGATAGTAAGAAAGTAAATAAATAATTTTTTTTTTTACACAAAGAACTTTCTTGTGAATGAAAAGACAAGTTTAGCACACATACCACATGAATCTCATTCTTAACTCCTTTATGACTTCTGATGGTTTATCTGCTTGTGTTTTGTCTTTTTTGCCACAAGATGCATTCACATAGAAGGTAGCTGTAATGTGAAACACTGGCAGAAGTCTCTTATGCTACATTTCTGTTGTTATGGGACTTGTTTTAGTAACAGATTAATTCAAGAAATTATGTGTGTTGAAGAATACAGACGTGTTTTTGCAGGCTGAACTCTAGCAAAAGAGAGACTCTATAAACAACTGGTCAGATCAGCGATGTTTTACATGGAAATAAGATTCTGTTGGTGGCTGTTTACTTTATCAGTGTCTCTTACTGGTTAAACTATGTGACACTGCTGTAGTTAGTGTGTTAACAGCGTTAAACAGACTTGTTATTAGTGCAGTGTTCTCAGCTGTACAAGTGAAAAAGAGAGCCGGTACGCAGAGGAAACTTTTAAGAGGTTTAATTGTCAATCATACTTTGATCAGGAAATTTCTGGAGATCTTGAGCTTGAATGCTGTCTTTACTGGTTTGGAATTATCTTCATATCTTTAAAGTATGTTACTCCTTTCTAGGGAACGTCAAGATGCAGATGGACAAATGAAAGAGCTTCAGGATCAACTTGAAGCTGAACAGTATTTCTCGGTATGTTTTATGTTGCTTTACTTTTAGACAAATCTGTTTACTGAGTGCATTGTTAGCTTTATTTCTTCTTTCTCAGCCATCAGCCGTTTCACATCTCTAACCCAGAGCTACTTCTTGTGCCTGTTTTCAGTGTTGTCTGCAGCCCTGATCATGGTCACTGAGCAGTGCAAAAGGGCTGATGCTAAG